ACACACAGCAACTATGCTCTTAATAGCGTCTTTCTCTTCTTTATCACCTCAAAAAACTTCTCAATATAATACAACAGACACCAACATACCCATTCATTTTTCTTACGATCTCTTTGTGATGGAGTTGGGTTTTTGTTTGTGGCATTGCACCTACCGCCACTGCTTTATCTCCTACCCCGGGATGGAAGGAAAATCACAGAACCACCATTTTAACTGGATCGCTGACAACAACAACAACAACACAAGTTTCAATGTGACATTTGTGACTAGAAACCCTCAACACTATCACGAGGAATATTTTAAATGATCATGCTCCTGTTAAAAACCGAAAATGATCTCATCGACCTGTCGGTAAGTGCTTCAATTTTAATCTAGAAATAAAGGATGCAAAAAAAAAAGGGCAAAAGACAAGCGGAAAGAAAATGGAGAAAAACACGACTTGAAGTGCGTAAGGGAATATTTATATTTATGAAGAATTCTGTTAATAAAATGATTACCAAGGCCAGGCGTACTTTCTTTTTGTCAAAATTAGAAAATGTTGAAACTTTTTCATGTCGCTGGTCAACTACTTGGCAACCAAAACAGAACAGTATTACCCTCTGGCACCTATAGAGATCTTTGTGGTAGCTTTCCAGACTTTTTTTTCACAAAAAACCACCTTCATCAGCCAAGAGCACGATAAAAATTGAATGTGCACAATTGCCCCTAATTACCTTCAGTTTAAGGGGCTAGTCAGCGATTATTTTACCCCAGCAACGGAAGAAGAAATAAAAAAAGATCATATTAGACAGTCCATCAAAAGCGTGCGCCTTAGACCCAATGCCCACCAGCCTTTAAAGAAATGTTTGCATGAACTTCTTCCACATATCACCCAAATTGTAAATGATTCTCTGCTCACAGGCATAGTACCAAATTGTTTTAAGACAGCACATAAAAGACCCCTTTTGAAAAAAGCTGGACTTGATGAAAAGGACTTTAAAAATTTTATACCAGTTTCAAATCTTTCATTCATGTCCAGAATTCTGGGAAAAAATGTGTCAAATAGACTCTTACATCATATTAAAGCAAATAATCTTAGCGACGTTTATCAGTCAGCATACAACGCACACCATAGTACCGAGACAGCGTTACTCAAGGTCTGTACTGATATTTTAAAAGATATCGATGAAAAAAAAGGTGTGTCTTCTTACTCTTTTGGACCTTTCGGCTGTTTTTGTTACCATTGATCATGACATTTTACTCGAGAGTTTAAATGCTACTTTTGGTACAAAGGGTACTGTCCCGCGATGGTTTGAGTCATATTTTAAAGATTGAACACAAGCAGTTGTGGTTGGAAGCACGTGTTCTGATAATGTTTTGATTAGATTTGGTGTTCCTCAGGGGTCTCTTCTTGGACCTGTCTTGTTTACAATGCATACACAACCTATTGCTGATAATTTAAGACAGTATGGTATGAATCACCACCTTAATGCCGATGACAGTCCGATTTATAGGTCTATTGATTTCGATCAAATACCAGTTTTAGTCGACTCTACTGAACAATGTATTTGAGAATTAAAAATATGGAAGACCAAAATAAATTGAAACTAAATAATGACAAGACGGAAATAATGTTGAGTGGAAATAAAAGAGCCATTAGAAATCTCCCAGAACGACAAATTGATATTGATAACTATACCATTCGTTCAAAAAGAAATCTTTAAAATCTAGGGGGTTCAGTTGAATTATGATATGTCTATTCCTTCCCAAATTAGCCAGCTCAGCAAAAGTATTTATTTTCAGCTTAAGAAAATTGGCAGTGTAAGAAATTATTTAACTAAAGACATTTGTAAAAACACTGATTTTATCAAAGT